GAACTCGCCCAGTGTTGCATCTCTGCCTCTTATCGGGGCATGATTTGGGACCGTGTAGTCTGGCTCCAGAGTCTACTTTGAAACCACCAAACTGTGCAGTGATCTATGTGACGTGACATTGACATTGACTGTGATATTTGGAAACATAAAGAGGTCCAGTGTGAGAAGGCCTATTACCACCTCTTCAGTGATAGCACTCAATGTGGTGCCAAAACGCTCAGTGCGTGAGTTTATATCCATAGCACACAATGTGAACAGTCACTTGGTAGCTGCCCTTTTAATTTGTTGATAACCAATAGTCAAACTACTCAAACTATTCATTGTAGCTATTACAACACCCAACAAACATGCCCATCTCTGCTTCTTTCTTGATTGCTAGAGTCCTGGTTCTGTCCAGATGGTAACACGCTCAAGGAAAGTAGACTTTTTCTTGACCACTAAGTGAGGTACTATGATTAAAAAACCTGATAACTCTTATTTTCCCTTTGCTGATAATTAGTTTAGGGAAGGACTTTTCATTTAGTTCTAGCCAATGAGAAGCTTCTGGAAAGTATATTGTTTCTTAATGAGGGGGAAAGTGAGAGAGTGAGCTGTACCTTCTTCTTGCTTTGCACGTAGTTGTTTGAGGGAAAGATGGCTGGTGCTCAGGGTACCATTTTGGGACCACCAGGAAGCAAGGCATAGCCCCCTCCCAGTGAGCAAACACACACGAGAGGAAGACCTTGCGTCTCTGATGGCGTTGGGTCCCAGAACCAGCTGAGCGAGGGCTTCCTGCTGTGAGCTGTTTCAGCATCTCAAAGGCTCCAGGGACTGCGAGTGCAATGAGACTCTCTGGGCTTCTCCCCGCTGGTGAGAGCACCTGCAAAGCCTCCTGGGTCTGGTCTCGGTGGTTTCTGCCACACCCGGCAGATTCGGTCAGGGTCCGCTAATAATCTCCATCCTCCGAAGCAGCGCTCTGATCAGTGTAAAGGCCTTCTTGTTCTTGTGTTTTTCCCACGGAAGAATCCACAGCCCTCGATCACACATCAAGAAACTTGCTTGGGGCTTTTGAGGTTTTAGTCTGCTTTGTTTTCTTCTGTGTGTTTATCATTGAAAACGAATAGGACACACTTATTGAAAAGATCCAAACTGTACAAAAATGAATAACCTTGGACATAAAAGTGACTATAATTTCCTTCAAGATCTGTTTTTTTGGGTTTTTCAGTGTAACCCAGTTCCACATGTAACAAAAACAAATGTCTACTGAGACATCCGCTTACCCTACGGGAGGTTCTGTGCCCGGTACCGAGCAAGTGTTAACTCCTGCGACTCCCCCCACGTTCCACGATTGGAGGCAGGGGCCATGAAGGGACAGAGAGAGGCCTGGGTGGGGGTCAGTGGCAGCAACAACATGAACCTCCAGAGTCCAGCCCTCCAGTCCACCGGACTGTGCTCTCTCCACTGTGGTGCTTAGTAAATATTTGTTTCATCAACAAACACCTTTCATTGTTCAGAAGTTTAAAATGTTCATAATCAAATTTGACAGCATTTTTCTTTATAGGTTCTGGCCTTGGCATTCGTATTAAGAGAGGCCATTTCAATTCTTAAACAGGTTAATTACTCAGATGATTTATTTTAACTTCCAGGTTTCCAAAACATGCCATTTCTTTGCAGCACCTTCCTAATACTTTTTCAGTGATGCAGCCAGCATCATTGCACACATCAGAAAATCAACTCTTTGAATTGTTTATTAACTGATCTAAGCTGAAGAATTTTATCTCACAAAACACTGCTTTGACATTTCTAAAAAAGTGTATCTGAAATTCACACTGTCACGGTTAGTAACAACGATTTACTGCATTTACTTTCATTTCCTTATTCTGCTTGAGCCAGAACGATTGAGTACATCACCTGAGACTCTTGCTGTAAGAATGCCATGATACATGTAATTAACAGAGAAGCCTGGTGGCATCTAATGTCTCTCTGAAAGACTGTTGATGGATGAACAATGGGTCTAAAAGACCTAGCCTCTTGCTGAGAATTGTTTATCACGTTCGCAATTATAGGCCATTTCCAAAGGACCTTCGCACAAAAGGATCAATTGTCCATTCACTGTGCCAGCCTCACGAGGCTGGTCGGCCAGAATGCTACATTCACCACCTGAATTGACAATGATACTTCTTCCTCTTTCTTTTTTAAGATTCCTGTCATTTTTCCTGTGGACTTGAAACAACTAGGATTATCATTTTAATTTACAGCCAGCTTTTCACAGAAAATGCACCCACTGAAGATTTCACAAATGCACCAGCGAGAGCCCATGATTATGAAGCACCCCAGCAGTGAACGAACAAACGCCCCACTCATGTTTTGAGTTTCCTACAGTGCTGTAACAAAGCGCTGCAGATCCGGCGGCCTAAAACAACAGAAAGTCATTCTGTCACAGCTCTGGAAACTAGAAGTCTGATGTCAGATGGCCGCAGGATCCCCCTCCCTCTAAAACCTCGGTGAGCATCTTCTTGACCTCCTCCTAGCTTTTGGTGGTGGCCCTCAACCCTGCTGTCCCTTGTCCTGCAGCTGCATCGCTCCGGTCTCTGCCTCTGCCATCACCTGGAGTTTTCCCTGTGTGGTGGCGTGCAACTTTCTCTCTTCTTAAGAGTGTGGCAGTCCTATTGGGTCAGGGCTCCTCTTAATGACGTTGTCTTAACTTGATGGCAAGTTATTTCCAAATAAGGTCACCTTCTCAAGAGCTGGGGGTCAAGGCTTCAACATTGTATTTTGGAGGGACACAACTCAGTCCATAACAGGCAGGGGACGTGCGAGCACATCTTAGACAGAGAATGTTTTCAGGACCCAGAAGACTTTGCAGACTCTCTGCGGCTTTACTGACAGCCTCCATGTAGAGAACAGCACGTGCACAGAAGTGGCTGGTAGTGGGAGCACAGAAATATCCAAAGCTAAAGAGCAGAAGACAGGGAGGTGGCGCCCTGCAGTCCCTGCAAGGCGGTGTTGTTGTGAATGTCCCCTGTGTATGAATCGTGTGACACACTGCCCTCGCTTGATTCTATGCTCACCCAACAGCCTCCCGACTTAATTTGGTCTCGGCAGGAATGCCTCTCCTAGGGAAAGAGTGGAGGACAACTCTGGATTGTGTCATTATTAGTTAACACATCAGAGTTGGGAGCTTCATGCTTCTGTATTTTATGAGTCAGGTTAGTGCGGCTCCATCCTGAGAGGCTGGTCAGCTCTAAGAGTCCAGAGTCAATCAGACGATTAGTAGTTTAAATGCTGGAAGAGCCTATTTTAGAAATGGTTCTCCTTGCATCGAGAGCGACCTCACATGCTGAGGATTCCATTATTCTGTGAGTCAGAAGCAAGCCCCCGGAAATACACAGGCTTTGGGGTGCAGCCCTGCAGTCCTGCCTGAGTGAGTGCTGGAGAACAGCCCAGTGTCCCCGAGGACCGCACACCTCCCCACGGCCACCTGGTGAGTGGTTACAGAAGAGGAAGGATGAGAACATGAGAAGCGTGGACGGTTCTGGTGCCCCTGCATCATGACGAAGTTGGCACAGCTCCCCTGCTCGGACCCGAGACCTCCGCCTCTGGTTCCCATCGTTGCTCTTCGATGTCTGTTTCTTCCTCCCCCTTCCTCCCTCATTTCGACTCTTTACTGTGTGGTTCTTCACTGGCGCTTTACGTGCCGACGGCTGTATGCCCTGCCCTCTTCCTACACCCCAGGCCCTGGATGGTGACCCTCGTCAGCCTTGCCTCACATCTCTCTTAAGCCCATGATTGTTCTTTCCACAAGGTAATGCCAGCGGCGCTGGCTGCCACCAGCAGTGCTTGTTTGCTGCGGCACTCACGGGACGGTGAGCTGTGACAGGACGCTGGGTATTTCTGGCTGTGGGAGGAGCGCAGCCCTTCTCTTACATCTCAGTGCTCAGCGCTGTCTCGAGGGAGAAAGCTGCCCAGACCCTGTTTGTCCGTGGCACGTGGATTCAGAAAAAGGATCCTGACCGCGTGCGGCTGTCATAGCTAGAAGAAGATTGGTGAGCGCTCTGTAAGGAAATACAAAACTTGGCATTACCAACGGAAGCGTGCCGTGGCTCGGAATCCAGCGGGAGAACTTGCCAGAAGACTAATGCACATCCTCGTGGATGTCAGGTAATTTATTCGCTACCTGGCCCATTTGTTTCCTTCCCCTGCCCCAAATCAGAAAACACATCTCCTAAACAGTAAGGGATAAACCCGCCGATATCTTCTTCCTTAATCTTGCTCACAAGGGACCCCGCACTCCTGTGGATCATCGCCCTCACGCACTCCGTCTTTTACTGAGATTCTTTAGATTTAGCAAAATAAAATATGTTCCACATGGAATATATGGAAAGTATTCCATAATAAGAAACTCTTACCTTTCATATCTGCCTTTTTAGTTTATACCTCCTCCGTTTCACTATAGGTTGAGTTCTCAGACATTTTTGTTATTACATCTCTTGGTCCACTCTGATCAATGTTTAAACACATGTGTTGTATGGTTTTTACTAGTTAGCTCTCAGAGCCCAACATCATTTCCAAGTTCGCGTGCGAGGCACCTGATGTTGTACCCCATGTCATCTTTAGTGACCATGTTGAACTTGGCCCTGAAGTGGGAGGAGAGGGCACTGCCGTTTTAAGTCCCCTCACCTGAATACACGGTGTGTCAGTGCATTTTAACCAACCTTCCCTCCTGTCAGAGAGCTAGCCATCCGGCTGCTCTGGCACATTTGGTCTGGCCAGACTAGTTAGGTTCCAGATCTTCTGGAAGCAAGGTTATCTCTCCCAGCGCTCTGTTCAAATTCCTCACCCTCAGCCCAGAGCTTTAAGGATGGTGGAGAAATTGGACAGTGTTCCTTTAAGGCAGGACTCAAGGCGGGGAGCCAGGGTATCTACGGTGGACACAGCCCCAGGCTGCAGACCGGGGCCCAATTAGCAGTGAGCTAAGCAGGGTTTATGTTTAGCTTAGCAACCGCTGGGGCGTCCCGGAGGCCCCGTCGGGGTATCTGCGGGCGGAGGCCCCAGTCCCTACCCTCAGCCCGGTGGCGCTGGCAGCACCGTGGGTCTCCGGGGTCTCGCAGCACCAGGGCAGAGGGTCTGCTCCGCGTGGAGGTGGCCGCCCCTGTCCCCAGCCTCAGCGTCCTGCGGACCCCTTGGGAATCGGTCTCCAGTGGTGCGGGGCTGAGCGCCCCAGGCGTCCCTCTGCGGGCGGCGTGAACCAGAGGTCCTCGGGGCTTCGCGGAGCACGGGGTCCCCAGGACCCCCACCACCGCTCGGCACCACCCTTCCCGGATCCCTGCGAGCGGCAGTGGATGGAGCCCCGAAGCCCGGCTCCCCGAGGCCTTGAGGTTGCAGCAGCAGCAGCAGCAGCAGCAGCAGCAGCGGGGACCGCATTTCCGAAGCTGGGACATGAAGGTCGCAGTGCTGGACCTCGGGTCCCTCTTTGCCAAAATCTTCAAGACCTCTATGGCGCCCCCAGGGGTTCCCTCCCCTGTCGCCTCCTCCAGCCACACAGAAGGCGCTGCCACCTCCGGGCTGGCAGCCCCCACCCTGACCCTCCTCCCCGCCCTGGCGCCGGACTCACCCTCCACCTCGCGGGGGGCGCCGGCCGCGCTCCATCCTCGGCTCACGGCCTCCTACCCCAGGGTCTCAGTCGGGAGCCGCGGGACAGAAGCACTAGGGACCCCCTTCTCACTGCCCAGTAGCCCGAGAGCAACCAAAGTCCAGGCCCTGCCCCCGGCCCCCTCCGGCGGTGGCTGCAGCGCCGCGAGCTCCCCGGCTCACCTGGCGGCGGTGGCGCGGCCGCCCCCCGGCCCTCCTGGCGGGGTGTGGACCGCGCTGCCGTCTATCGGGGGCTCCACGGGCAGCAGCGGTGCAGCCTTGAGCCCCCGGAACTCCCGCCAGCCTGGCCCCGGAGACCGAGAGCCCAGCGCTGGGATGCCCCCTGGACCTGGCCCCAAGACCCTCTTCTTCACCTTGCCGGACATCGGCGAGGAGTGGGCCTCGGACAGCGACCCGGAGGAGGGCGGAGACGCGTGAGTAGCGGCAGGGCCCAGGCCCGCCCGCCTGTGTTTCCTGGGGGTCTCTGCGCTCCGCCTGCAGCGCCCACCTCGCCGGGCGCCCTAGAGAACAGCGCGCGCTTTGCGAGTCCTGGGGCCCCTCCCGGCCCATTCCCTGGCTCCTCATTCTGTGCCTTTCTGTTCTTTCCAAACGCGCTGTGACAGGCTTTTACTCGGCTCTCCTCCGACACAATCCTCTGCTGATCACCAGCGGAGCAGGAGTGGGGACGGAGCAGGGCTCCAAGACGAGGAAGGCGGAGTTCTGTGTCTTGTCCGGCTGAGCCTCGGCAGGCTGTTTGGCAGTCCGGTTTTCTCCAGGACTTGGAAGGGAGCCCTCGGGCCCTTTTCTGGGATGCGGAGTAGGGCAGAGGTGCGGGGTGACTGAGAGCGCACGCTGGGGGTGCGATTTTAAGACCTGGTCCCTCCTGACTTTTCAAGGATCAGCCCCAATTCTTACCCTAAGTGGGACGAGTTTTCTCTGTGCGACGTCTAGTTAATTTACATCTGCATAACATCTTGGGACACCAGTGGCCTTTGTGATGCTCCGGACACTTCTGATAACACCCTAGAGTTCTTGCAAAGTGCCCAGAGGCGCTCTGGACACGCTGACAATTTGTTTTTAAGTAAGAATTAGAGGACATTTCTCTCAACCCAGCCTCACACACACAGCCTTTCACCACCACAAACAGTGTGGAAAACCTCCTTGTCAAGTGTGCATTTTAGAATGGAGGTGAATTTTATTTTTTTTTAATGAGCAGTTACGTGGGTACACACACGCTCAGCCTTCTGAATCCTCCAAGAGAATAGTGGTCAGAGGCAGACCAGAATGCAGATCTCCTGAAGGCACGTTTCTGCCTTATAACCCAGTGAAGAAGAACAGTCAGGCCCCGGCCTAGGTGCCGGCCTGCTAGTGAGGAAGCTACTCCTCACCCCCACTCCGTCCCACCAAACATAAATTAGTGGGAGAACTAATGCATTAAGAAAAATTCTAACCTGTTTGCAATTTAAACTATTACATTTTTACAAAGCTGCCTGACGTTCATCCCAGGGCTAAAATAAGCAGTGGAATAAGTTGTTTGTTTTCATTTCAAGTATTGCAGCATGAAATACATAGATCAACTGGTGGTGTGTTCTTGAGGAAAATCAGTGGCATTCGGGTAAGTGGCTAGGATATGTAGGCGTAAGGAATTAGACCTTTGTTATCGGCCACTGCTCCTTAACATTTAGACAAGTAATGTTTTACGAGCAAACAGATCCACACAGTGACCTTAAACGCTAGACTTTTGCTTTTTACAAACAGGCCCCGATACGCGTCGGCGTGGCCGGGGCAACAACTGGTGTCGGCTTTCTCTCTGGGGCATCTTAGCCCGTGTTTCACTGTCTGCACATGTTTAGTAGACACTTTTTGCATACCACTGTATCTGGCGTTGCTGACAGAAGTGACTGTTTTGCATTAGCCAATAAACCGATTTCACTAGAAGTGTGGACGTTGAGTTCTAGACAGTCTCTATGAGAAAGAATATGCGCAGATACGTGCGGTCAGAGGTCTTGCTGGTAATGAATTTGTACTCGCTGTCAGGCCTCAGGCAGCCCTCTGAGTACTCCAGGGGTTTTTTTTTAAATTTACATAAACAAATAGCCTCATTCCTTCTTTAGTGATTAAGTTTATAAGGGGGAAAGGAAGAAAATATTAAGGTGATTTTTTTCCTTTAGTGCTACAAGCCTTTCGCATCTTGAAGTATATTTTTTTCCCTCTTGGGTTTCTGGGGGGGGGGGCTATTTATAACATGGACTACACAAACATCATTCAACAACGGATTTAAATTATACAACTACCACCTCGTCTGCCAGGACAAAACCCAGAGGCGTGGACAGGGGAGGCGGTTAAAGCAGGGGTAGGAGCATGACACCTTCAGCTTTATTCTTTTGTCTCAGGGTTGCATTGGCTATTTGTGGTCTTCTGTGGTTCCCTAAAAACTTGAGGGTGATGGATGAACCTGGAGGGTATCATGCTAAGTGAAGTAAGTCAGAGAGAGACAAATGTGTGGTTTTACTCATGCGTGGCATCTAAAAGAAAGTGAACAGACAAAACAAAACAAAAACAGACTCATAGAAACAGAGAACACAGGGTTGCCGGGGGAGAGACGGGGGATGGGTGAGAAAAGGGAAAGGGAATATAGTCAATAACATTGCAATAAGTTTGCACAGTGACAGGCGAGTACTAGAATTTAGAGGGGAGGTCCACATTGTAAGGTTTAACAGGGGTGTCCAAACTTTTCGTGTCTCTGGGCCACATGGGAAGAAGAAAAGTTGTCTTGGGCCACACATTAAATACATTGCGACACGTAATCACAAAAAAACATCTTATAATGTTTTAAGTAAATCTATGATTTTGTGTTGGGATGCATTCATAGCCACCTCGGGCCGTGGATTGGACACCCCCCGTTTAAAATGTCAAATCACTCTGTTGTACACCTGAAACTAATAAAACTAACACAGTACACCAACTATATTTACATTAAAAACACGGTAGGAATAGGAGGGAAAAAGAGTAGGTAAAGAGGATGTGGATGCAAGTAAACAATTGTAAACAACCCCCTGAGAAACATTACTCACGCTCAGCTGCAGGAGAAAACCCTCATTCCTATTTCATGCATTTTTTAAGAAAAACCATGCGTTTTACATTTGACCTGATTATGATGTACTTGGCCTTTCTAAAAACTAAAAATAGTGAAGTTAATCTGGGGGAAGTATGCAAAGGTTCAGTTCAGTCTTTTCTTTTTCCTTTGTCTCGAAGATGCTCTGTAGCAGCGTGGGTTTTGATCTCTGACCCACGGGTTCGATACGGGAATGGCCCCGGCAAAGGGTTTGTCCCATGTCTGCACAGGGCCCACTGGCTGCCGCACCTGAACCCGAGGTGCAGGATACTGGTTCCCTTCTTTATCTCCCTCCCCCGCGCCCTGACACGTGATCCAGTGCTTTCCCCTCTGCCTTCACCTGCCTGTGCACTGCAGTTACACTTTATACCTGCTGGTCGACATTGTTTTTTCCGTCTCGTCCGTCCCTGTGTGCTACCTCTGCTTGCACTTCTGGTTTGAACTAGACAATTAGCATCTCGTAGAAGGTTTTATTCTCTGTTTGTTCTGGAAATCAAAGAATATCTAACTGTAGATAAGGTTGGTTGGTAGATAGAAATTGCTCTGTAAAAATGTCAGCAGATGGTAAACTTCAGGTGGTCAGGAAGTATTACTTATATCTTTTGTAAGTTGTTGCTAGGAGCATATAATTATTGGTATTTTGAGTGACTGAGTTCCATTGTCAAAGTCACGTAGGTGTGGACATACTGCAGTAACAGACTGCAGGGCTCGTTTACTTGGCTGGCGATAAGGTGAATGAATGCAGAGGCAAAGTCTTGTCCCTCCATTCATTCATTACCAGGGCAGCCTAAACATAGAGCAATGCCTATGGCCCCAGGAATCGCAGGAGTTGAATTCCATTCTCAAACCATGTGCTGGATTGTAATTCTGGGCAAGGTACTGAGTTTTCCACAGTGTAGAATTTCCCCCATGATAAAACAGAGATGATAATACTGCTTCCCTCACAGGGATATTCCGAAAATTAATTGCAATAATATTTTCAGTGCCTAACACATAGAGAAATGCTGATAAAATGTTTTCTGTGATTATTATATGCTTCTTGGCACAGAAACGAAATTCGAGAGGGTGTTTCATTTTTAAAAAATGCATGCATTCCAGGTGAAGAAAAGAATGACAGAGATAATTATTCGCATTCATCATGCGACTTGGAACACATGGCATTTCTAGGTTCAGTTATTGGGGAGAACAAATCATAGGCCACTGCAATCTGCCATCATGTTCCCTGCACAACTCACAGTAGATAAAGCTTGCTTTCGTTAGCATTGCCACTGGTAGGGGAGTAACACTTAGAAGAAATGTGCTTGGCACCCTGGTAGCGAACTTTTAATTTTCAGAGACGATGCAGAATCATCAGTAGCATCACCAATCACACACGACTCCCCCTCCGTGTAGCTCTTGCCCATTTCAACCTGGTGATCCTGTGATTTGTGTCATACTTCCTATCCATTTGAGACTATAAACTCTTTGTCAGTCTCGTGACAGTCACAGCAACACGTACCCAGAAAAGGCATTTAATAACATTGATTAACTGAGTGAAGGAAAATCTTTTCTTCTTCATATAAGCCAGTTTCATGGGTCCCTAATCTCCCGAAAACGTAGAGGCGATTTAAATCTCTTTCTTGGAGAATAACTGTTGTCTTGGGCCTTGTGGTTCCATTGTCTTGGAGTTTTCCCAAAGTCAGTTAACACCTTCTGCTGGGACTTTGTGTTTGCACAGGGACGAATGGTGGGCAGGCTCAGGAGACCATTGTCGGGGACTCTCAGCTTCTATTGCAGTCATCATGACTTCTGCTGCAGTGACCATGACTTCCATTAAACACAGTAATAAACTTGACTTGGTTGCTATGTCTAGCGCTAGCTCAAACCCAGGGAAATAATTTTGTTCTTCTTGTCTTCTGCAGCAGTTTTTTAAACTTTAAACTATCTTCTTTACTTTAACATTATGGTTAAGATGGCACAAATTATCTTGGAGGTAACAGTTATCTCTGTTCTGCTGTGTGTTTAAAGAACACATTTTGAATTTTCTCTAATGCAATAGCTAACATGTGTAATATTTGATATGTGACAGGTTCATAGCTACAATTCTATGACATAGGATTTGAGCCCTTTATTGTCCAAAAATTGTATTAGCTAATTTAAATTAGTACAGTTTCTAGAGCATAGGTGTGAAGTCAGATTGACTTTGATTCAAATTTCATTTTTAATTTTTCTGAAAATACTAAGAATAAAATACCAATTAAGAATTCACAGCCCTGGCTGGTGTAGCTCAGTGGATTGAGCGCGGGCTGTGAACCAAAGCATCGCAGGTTCGATTCCCAG